CCTCCAAAATTCCCGACTGTTTGTCAATCCTTGATGCTGACGCTTTCAGTCAAAATATATTCTTCCCATCATTTTCCTTGCCCCTGCGCCCCACCCCCATTATTAATTTCATAGGGATTTTCTGGTTGCTCCTGCAGCTTTCAATTTTGAGCAGCACACCTAAAGTATACTGTCTGTCAGTTAGACCTACATCGTCTGTCATTCAATTAGAACTCATTCAAAAGTATGTAATTAATGACTCATTTTAAAAGATGAAATAATATATAACCGGTATAGTTTCTATTAGTAGGCCTATCACATGGCGAATAGGGGAATGTTCTGTTGAACACTGCTTTGAAAACTTGAGTCTGAAAGTGCATGTTTCCAGGAATGGTATCTAGGCCTGTTAACAATTTGCTCACCTAAACAACTGGTTGGTGAGTGGATATTTTTGTTGTAGGAACATTTCTGTGGCATGGTATGAGAAATTAAAGTGTTTGTTATGTTTTTATTTTTCAAAATTCTAAAATAAAATGAAGAAGAAAAGAACATTATATTCAAATTTAAGTCTGAGGTGCTATTTCCGACAATCTGAAGTCTATTAATGGCCTACCAGCTCCTTAATAATTATCTATTCATAATATAAGTCGTTACATTATATTTCTATCGAGATTATCAAGTCATTCGAATCGATGTTATTCTTATACACTGACGCAAACGGTGTCAATCCGCACTAATGCACCACACCCCACGCCCCCGACGCGAACGATTCAAAGTGACCATTTAGTCATTTGAGCGGATCGACCGATAAAAGGAACGGGTGAAAAATGTTCAAAACGAGGGGGGAGGGAGAGTATGAAATGTGAGGAGCGCTCTGCGTGTGAATGATGTGATACAGAGACGGGGCTTGCTCTAATCCCATTTCCCCGCCCAAAATGGTTCACAAGTTCGAGATGTCTGTAAAATAACATTAATTTCTATGCATGTTTAAGGTTTGGGATATTTAAATTTACGGCTATTTTTTTTTTCAGATAGAGAGATAGGCCAAGTTAACAGACCGTGCATGTGGATGAGCTGAGGGGTCCTGGATTTGAACCCTTCCGGAAATTTATCCCCAATCCGGCCAATATGGAGGCCAATTCTATTCTGAGTTTTTTTATTGACTAAAACTTTCTCACTTTTTCTGTTTAAAAATACTTCATTTCATTATTATATTTTGCATTTGTTTCCAAAATTCACAAAAAATAACAATATATCAGAGCGATCCTAAGTGGGATTTTTTTTATTAGAGTGAAGTCTGAGCAATGCAATATAGCATTCGACAAACTGATAAATCCCTCCCTTTAAAGTTGTCCGAGGGTGTCTGCTGACGGAGACCAGACTACTAGGGCGCCGGGCCTTGGTGGGAGCTCAGGGATACCCAGACGAGTTGAGGAGCTTAGTCTCTGTGGGGCTCCCCAATGGCACCGCCTCTGCCTAAGTCACTATTTAAATTTGTAAGATGGAAATAATACCGTAAAATTTCGAACAAAATCTTAGGCAATCTCACGTATTCCCATAGTTTGGTAGACCTATCTTATTAGACCCTACACCATCGTAAATAAACGTTTATAAAGATATTTGTCTTCGTTGCATTATTTATTCATTTGAACGCTGTATACATTGTATTTATTACCCTACTGTATTTGAAATTTTTATTGCACACAGGCGGTTTTTTACTCGAAAATACCTCCGCGGCGCTTATTAGCGCGAGCGAAAAATATCACGTTGGTGCAGCGCTTATTGGAGCATTTACGGTAGGGCCTTTATTTGACGATTTTAACTTATCATCACCTTCTTTTCATTCGGTTTACCGTTGGGAAGTAGGGGGCGTTAAATTTATTCAAGGGAGGTATTTTTTTTTGCGTGTAAAGTGGATACGGTAAGTACTGTATATACTCAGATAAACTCCCCCTAATTTCAATGTAAATGTGGAACTACAACACATAGGCCTAGGTCTAATTTCCTTAAAAATTTGTTATTGCGTGATCATACTTAATGATCCCAACCAGGTAAAAGGAATGTAGAATATTAATAGAATGGGTTGAGAATAATGTTGCTTCCATTAGTTTTGTTAAGTCATTTAGGGGGAGGGGGTGGCGTTTATAGGAAAAAATGCGGCCCTGGGGCGTTTATTCCAAATGAGGGGGTGTTTATTTGAGTGGGATTTTATTCAAAGGAAGCCATTTATTCATGGAGGAAAGTACAGTACATAACCTATGTTAAATGTTTAAACAAGAAAGTAGGAGGAGGCATGTTATTAGTGAGTGGCATGTTATTGGTGGCTGTATTTGTCTAGCAGTTCATGGGTGGGGTGCATAAAATGCAGTGTTGACACCTTCAAAAGTGGTCTGTGGGGGAGAATCTATATATAAGGCTTATTTAATCTATTGTAGGGTTGTAGAGAAAATTACATCTATTTCTGTTTCTCCCAGACGAATTGTATTCTACCTCCCCGTCTGGGGAGGGGGGGTGGAGGAGGCGTCTCCCTGACCCCGGTCCCCAACATTATTAAAGATTGGATTTATCCGGTGTAAACTCCAAGTATAACCCACGAAACGGAGTCTAAAAACATATATCCAGTGGGGTCCTTCTGGTGGTGATTGGGCAGTACACTGGCAGAAAATCACCTACTGTGTTAAAACAAGCGCACGGCACAGGCCATACAGCACAGGGGACCAATGGCTCAACCGTCTCATCCGAACGATGAAGCACTATTAGAACCTGCATTTCAGCCCTCCAGCTAAAACACAAAGAGAGCAGTGATGGAATTGATCTGGGGACGAAAAAATCTCCACGGTTCACACATAGAGTGTCTACCACCAGTTTAGCTGACTTCAGCTAAGATGCTCTCTTACTAAATCTAGTATGTACTGATCATCACTATCACCATCAAAATTCAAATCATGAAAGCATGGTTTGAGGAAAGGCATCGTGGTAAACAGAAGTCGACACGGTGGAAAAACAAAGTAAACAACTTTACATGGATACGGGGATGGGAAAAGTTACGTAGACAAGAAACTTTGGTGTGAGTTTGGGGGAGGCTTTTGCTCAACAAAAATAGTTACTAGGTATTATTCATAGAAACCTCAAAAATAGATATATGATGTAATTGCGTATTAAGCAGAGTCCAATATTAGAGTATTTGCATTGTAAAATTTGAATTAGAGTTTTGTGCATTATACTACGCAGAAACCCTGATAATGGGGTGTCTACATGTTACATAAAGGCCAATTTACACTGAGAACGACTGAATGTGATATACTTAAAATAAATTGACTAAAATTGTTGAATTAATATACAACACAAAAATTTATTTAATTAAATATACTTTTATTTTGTATATTGTCACTTTGTAACACACACATAATGATATGGAATACAAACACATACCAGTAGTCATGACCGAATACATAATCCTATTGGAGATGCATATCAGAAAACATCAATTCAGCGAAAAACTGACCAGGTTAGAATTATCGAGACGATAAGTCCGATGCGAAAATGTGTCTCTTCCTGAGTCATTTGAGCGTTAAACAATGGGGATATCACGAATTAGAGCCTCAGTAGCCGATTTTCACGACTCGGTTAATTAAAAAATCCGGAATTTTTAAAAATATAGTGGCAAAACATGGTGGAGGATGGCAAAACGGGGGAGTTCCCCTACCTGGATCCGTACCGGGAAAGAACCAGAATTCCTAGAAGTGGCTTCTCCAGTTTAAGATCCCTGAAACTTCAACACAGCTATCTAAGTGAGTGAAAACTTAATTGCCACACATATTCACTCATTTTCCTACAAGAGCAAAAGGAATTGATGATTGTTGTCATTATTGTCATTAAATCAAAATTTCCATAAAAGAATACATACACTGTATATCTACTGTCTCTTATACACATCTAGATGTGTATAAGAGACAGGTACTGATCATCACTATCACCATCAAAATTGAAATCATGAAAGCATGGTTTGAGGAAAGGCATCGTGGTAAACAGAAGTCGACACGGTGGAAAAACGAAGTAAACAACTTTACATGGATACGGGGATGGGAAAAGTTACGTAGACAAGAAACTTTGGTGCGAGTTTGGGGGAGGCTTTTGCTCAACAAAAATAGTTACTAGGTATTATTCATAGAAACCTCAAAAATAGATATATGATGTAATTGCGTATTAAGCAGAGTCCAATATTAGAGTATTTGCATTGTAAAATTTGAATTAGAGTTTTGTGCATTATACTACGCTGAAACCCTGATAATGGGGTGTCTACATGTTACATAAAGGCCAATTTACACTGAGAACGACTGAATGTGATATACTTAAAATAAATTGACTAAAATTGTTGAATTAATATACAACACAAAAATTCATTTAATTAAATATACTTTTATTTTGTATATTGTCACTTTGTAACACACACATAATGATATGGAATACAAACACATACCAGTAGTCATGACCGAATACACAATCCTATTGGAGATGCATATCAGAAAAACATAAATTCAGCGAAAAACTGACCAGGTTAGAATTATCGAGACGAGAAGTCCGATGCGAAAATGTGTCTCTTCCTGAGTCATTTGAGCGTTACACAATGGGGATATCACGAATTAGAGCCTCAATAACCGATTTTCACGGCTAGGTTAACTAAAAAAATCTTGAATTTTTTAAAATTTAGTGGCAAAACATGGTGGAGGATGGCAAAACGTGGTGGGGGGGGGGGGCTTCAACACAGCTATCTAAGTGAGTGAAAACTT